GGCGTTGGCGTTGGCGTTGGCGGCGTTGGCGGGGGCGACGGGGCGGCGGAGGCCGGCGGAGGTGGCGGTGCTAGTGGCGGCCTGGGGGGTGGTGGTTGTGCGTTTGCTTTGCGTGCTCCTCCTCACCCTACAGACAAGCTTCTGATTCCTTATCAAATAAGTTGTTGAGCATGTTCTTGACAATGTGCCCTGTAGCGCGGCATGAATGACTTTGCATGAACACACATCTGATGTGCGCATATACACATATGATATCCCATGCAAGAAGCCATGCAGGTAACACCTTTGTTTGCTATGCATTTGCGGTTCTGTTCTGTGTGCTTCGAAACAACAAAAGCACATTCTGGGCTTGTTCTGTTGTTTCGTGTGCTCTGCCTTCCTTCCTACGGGAAATCTGACAGATCTGGAAGAGCTGCAGAACAAAACAAGAAAGTAAATCTAGAGAACACGGCCCGCACAGAACAAAACAGCACGACCATGAAATACAAATCAAGTTTTTGCAATGCTTCATGTCGTTCGGAACCCTTTGCAAAAGCCAAGGCAACTGCCCAATCGATGGCCGGGAAGACTTTCATGCTCGGGGCCGGCGTTGTGTAACGTATCCATGCACCGCAGAGCACGCAGCCTGCAGGTTGCGGTTTCGGCTCGGAGCTGCGGAAGAATCGCTTCTCGCTTCTCTTGTCGCCGCCGCCGGCAGCTATGAGCTGCAAGAGGCGCAGAGCGATGCCACCTCCGGAGGACAGGCCGTAGACAAGGATATTCTCTGCGGAAGCCCGGGTCAACAGCCATTCATATCCACGACAAGCATCCACAAATGCATCCTCGATGAAAAACTCTGGATACAGCCTCATGTCGAGCATGAAGATGTCACAACCAGCTCGCAGCGCATACTGCTCAGCAATGCCCATGCTACTCTGAACCGTTCCGCCAACAAAGGCACCTCCAAAAATCCAGTACATCACTTTGGGATTGCCATTCTTGTCAGCATAAGGCACATGTATGTAGGTTCCGCTGATCCCGTGCTCTGGCAAGCAAATCACCTCGCGCTGGAAATGTGGGGTAGCGGGACAGCTGGAGTCCAGCTGTGCAAGGCTGAAGCGCATCCTCCTAACGTTCACAGGGATGATGCGGGCCCAATAGAGCACGTTCCCTAGAGCATGGGCTTCAATGGACAGTTCGTCCGCCATACCACGGCGCACAAGCCAAGCTGGCAGCAGCCTGTGCAGCACGAGCCAGATCCGCCAAAGCGTCATGAGCAGCAACCATCGGATTCTGGAAGGCAGTTTCAACCAAATCCAGAATGCCGGCACCTCCACTGGCAGAAACAGGGGTGAGATGGCCTCAAGGACCCGTCGCAAGGGGCCAGGCTCGACCAAAGGCTTCGCCAGCCAGTCCGGCAGGCCCAAATTCACCCGCAGCGGCTTCATCACCTCCATGGCTTGGCGCATCGAAAGATCGGAGCTCATGACTGCTGCATACCGGAGACCACGCGTAAAGACCGCATCATTCAGGAAATGCAGTGCTTGGGACGATGATACTTTCCCTGCATATGCCTCTTGCTTAAGCATGTTTAAGTGCTCGTGAATCAGCTTGAGATTCCACGTGTCCTTTCATTGCTCTTCCCAAGAGAGCTGCGGGCCGAGACGCAAACATGTGCAAATCCACAAACCTGCTCACAAGTTAGTGCAGCATGCGTAGCCTGACTATATTGCTGCAACAGGTGTAGGCATCCCTAGCCGCTATAGCGTTCCTCCTGCCCACGGAGCGAGAAGACCCATTCGAAAGCTCTGGCGCCATGCCAGGTACATTGGGCTGCAATAGCTTTGTGCGTTTTAGATTGCGCACGGCTTCACCATCAAGAATCCTGACAGTCCAGAACAAGCAACAAGGTGTGACTTCACCCTGATGATGGGTTGGTTGTGTGCCTTCGTCTAGCTTGCTGCGAGCCAGCAAAAGCAATACGGCAGACCAACAGCAAATAACTAATTGGGTAGTTTGGCGATCTAATCGTTCATGGGTGCCACAAGCGTTCAGCAGCACAGTGCCCTGCCAGAAGAACAGAAAGAAGATTCCGCAATGCCGCCAGTTCGACCGGACGCTCTTTGGGCAGGTTGCCTACGTAGAGCCGCGTCGGTGCCATGGCCTAGCACCTTGAGTTGCGAACATCTGGAAAAATGGGATTCCATGGACATCTTTTCCCATGCGCCTAAGCTGTCCTGGCAATCCCGAAACATTCCGAGCCTGCTACTGGGTGTAACTTCCTGAAAGGGGCCAAACAGCCAAGCCCCTTTCAGGCTGGGAAGTAGATTGAAAATGAGCGAGTGTGCAGAGATGTGCAGAGTATCAATCCCATACAAGTATCAACCATGCCATGAGCCTTTCCATCTCACGCCTCGCTGACATCCAATGGGCGAACACGGCCCGGCGACGCACGAAGCGGAGGGTAGATTGGAGGGCGTTTGAAGAGTAGAGTGGACTGCCTGTTGTGCCATGGAAGTCATCACAAGCACATGACAGAGGGCGTTCGGGGTTCTGGGTTCTGCACGTGCAGCTGCAGAAAATGCCATAGATTGGTACAACCCTGGCTAAACTGCCTACCTGATCCCGCAAACTCCTGTCTGGGTCGCAGGCTCGCAGTGAAGCTCAGCGCCTTGGAGGCACTCAGCGAAAGAAAAGACAGCGCGGGCCGAACGTTTAGACTTCTTTCGAGAGTGCTTCTAAGGCTAGTAGCAGGAAACTCTATCGACAACCCTGAAATCAGCATCAAGGCCTCGTCATACCGTCTTCATACTGGAGGATTCTGGACTTTGACTTCATTCCAGTTGAAATTGAATCAAGTTCCGGTCAAAGGGCAGGCTTGATGACATCAGCGGCCTCACCCGAAACCGATTCCTAGACCTTCAGGTCAGACATCTCTGAGTCTGTAGAGTGGCCGGCCCTAACAGGAGCACAGGCCGATGCAGCTGCATAACGCCTTTCAAGCTGATAGCAAGGACAACTTGGTGATGGCTGATAGCAGATGACAGGAATGAGAAAAGCTGTGTCAAGTGGACATTAGCTACAGGCTGACAGATGACATGCACTGTCGGAACGAACGTCATGGTGCAATATGACGGTTGGGCTCGCTTTCCTGGTAGATGCCATACGCTATAGATACACTGTAAAGAGAAAGTGGTGAGAGACGAGGTGATAGTTTCAGAAACGTTGTGAAAGATAATGCTCAAATTGAGAACGAACATGAAGACGGAGAAACACAGGCTACAACGATGATGATGACATGGGCGTCGATGCCGACAATGCTAATGAGTTAGCGATGACTTTGCTAAGATGCGCGATGCCTCCAGCCCCTGCCGGAATCTGTGCAAGCAGACCACACAAGAGACCCTGCTTCTGCATCATTAGGCCCATCCAGGACTAGCATCAGCTTGCCCAGACAGCGTCAGAATATCAAATCCATGGGTGCGTGAATGGACCGTGCTTACAAAGCAAGAGTCTCAAAGCAGAGACACCCTGCCGCTGAGGCTTCTTTGCACTGTGGCATGAATTCTATTGCAAGCTGAGTACTCAATAGCAGTTGAGTCGCTAATTTCGTACGCAATCTGGAGTGAGCTTCAAAGATCTGGATTAGATGTGGCAGAAGTGTGTTGAACCAAACGCCGGTACTTTCCATCAACTAAAACTCAGGACTCAAATGCTTTGCAGGGTCGCATGCTGCCTGCAGCTACCCAGCTCGAAGCTTTAAGCTTCACACCTTTCTCTTGAAAACAATCAAGATGAACACAGAAACGCTCGGCCGCCAACTGCTGGTCGCTCTTGATGCTATATGCGATGCGACCAAAACCTCTCATTCATCAACCATGCGAGTAGGGCGCATGCTGGATCATCACGCAATGGAAGAGCTTCGTGCCCAATAAGCCAGCAGCTCTCATTGTCAGCATCTGAGGCAGCTGCTGCAAGTACTTTCCACGATCAGCCCTGACGTTCCCCTGCAGCAAAGGGCATGCTCATCAGCAACACTGAGATGGATGCCGCCCCAAGCAGTTACATTCTCTAACCTCACATCGTGTAAGGCAAGTGGCAGACCGCCGCAGGCTGGGACAGCACCACCACTCCCAGCGTCGCTTTGAGCCCAGTGTCGGAGAACGAATCAAAAGAAAACATCTTGTCAGCTGTTGCTTTACGGCTTGGGATCTAGCAGATGTTTGCATACTGCCTGGACCTTCTGAGAAACGTCAAGAGATTGCATTCGCTGCACATCATCTTTCTTCAGTTGGTGATATTTGGCCAAGATGAATACTTGGACAGGACTGCTCCCAAGTCAGCTCGAGTTCAAATGAGGCACACTACCGACTCACAATGCCTGTTCCCAAACCGAAGATAATTCTAATTCATTGGTATTGCCGCATCTTCACTTGCGGAATTCTTGCGGAGAATGCTTGCAGCGAGAAGGCCAGGTATAGCATCACAGGGCACAATTTTGTCCAACCTCCTGCCCCCTCGGCTATGAAGCCGCTCCATGTGCGTGCTAAGCTGGCTGCTATCTGAAGGGCTACTCACCAAACGCGACCTTCTCGAGTCACCTGTGCACCAACTACCCTCTGGCCCTTCGTGCCCATAGTGATGATATGATGCCTTGAGGTTGAGCGAGTTAAAGAGCTTCTTGAAGGCAAAGAAGTTCAGAGGTCCAGAATTTTCTGGCAGAAGCTGGTCCAGAACACTGAAAACTGCATCCGAACAGCCGTGTTCCCGGCCTCCGGCGTCCTCCGCCCCGATTAGAAGCATCTCTTCAGCCTCTTCCGGCCTGCAAACCTGCATTGTCAGGTGCCTCCCCGACACCATCAACAACCAAAAACAAGATGGGTTAGGCAACTTGGCATGCGCCAGGCCTCCACGGGGATTCGGTAGCGCTTCAGCGCTGCACGGAGTGCCTGGCGCTGCATGGCTCAGCGAGGCGTACGCTGCCAGTCCATTGCTCGAGCCTCCGCAGTAATCCCAGAGCCATCTGGGCCCTCCAGCGCTCGGAAGCTTGCCTTCAAGCGTAGCACGTGCTCGGACATGCGCAGCAACGGCAGGCGTTCAGAACGTGCATTCTGCTTTGGCCTCAGCAGCCTGGGACAATGCCGAAGACACTGCTTGCGCGGCCTCCTTTGATGAGCAGGGAGCAAGCGTATCCAAACATGCAGGCTGTCAACATCAACTGCGATTTCTTGCTTTCTCAGCTACAGCTGATGGCGCAGATTTGTGCTGTAGACAAGGCTTGATCATGATCATTAAGCATTCGCTGCACGAAAAAAAAAAAAAAAAAAAAAAAAAAAAA